GCATTTTCCTTCTTTCTGCTTCCCACAGACCTCAGAGAAAACTCTGGGCCAGTAGTTTTCAGTGTGATTTCTGGACCAGCAGTATAACATGACCTGGAAACTTAGAAATGCAAGTTCTCAGTTCCTACATCAGACCTATGGAATCCAAAGCTGAAACTAGGGGGCAAAGGGCGGAATTCGCAGCAATCTGTGTTTTATCAAGCCCTCTAGGTGCTTCTGAAGCATGCTAAAGTTTCAAAACCACCACACAACAGGAATGAAGGAAGTTGTGAATACAGGCCTATATAAAATTCCTTTCTGACAGCTTCAAGCTAGCAAGTTCATTATCACATTGCTGTAGCAAAAACTGCATAGTAGGTCAGGATAGGAAACATTATGAAATTAAGAGGCAAGAATATTAACTGACTTCAGTATTCTAGATCACTAACATTTATAGTGGGCAAAATATATTTTTAGTTTTATCTTTATGGCAAGGAAAATCATGGTTTCATAAAGCTTTTAAGTTTTGACAAGTGGAAACCATGCATATTGTTTAAACATCACTCTTTTGGAATCTAGACATTTTTTTGTGGAATAGAATTACTCTTAAAGGCATTCATCACAGAAATTTAAATGTACTCGACAGTGAATTATGACCCTAAAAGAGTTAATTTATCATTGAATTTTCTGAATACATTATTGTAGCTTTAATTGCCTAAGATATCTGTTTCACAAAGCACAGGTCCCTGTTGTTGTTGTTAAATGCCATTGAGTCAGTTCCAACACACAGCGACCTTGTGTAGGGTTTCTGAGGAGCGGCTGGTGAGCTTGAACCCCCAACCCTGCAGTTCAAACGAACTTTGCAGTCCAGTGTATTAACTCATAGCACCACGCCAGGACTCCATTTAAATAAACATTAGGGATTAATTTAGTAAACCCTTGTTTGGCAATTATATGTCACCAAAAGGGAACTATTTAAAAAAATACATTCATAGTCTGAACTCTTTTTTTCTCTAGTATATGGCTGGTCCAAGAATAAGCATTTTCTGAGTTCAAAGAAACAGATTCATTTTATTGATATATGCTAAAGATTAGATGTACTCAGTTAAAGTTAAACCTCTTCCTAGTCAAATGACATACCATGTCTTTGACATCAGTCTTAAGAAAATACTGTATAGTGTACTGCATCCCCAAATTGCCTTATCTAAGTATAACAAAATGTGCAAAGATCTGGAGTCAGAAAACCAAAAAGGAAGAACACGGTCAGCATTTCTCAAGTTGGAGGAACTGAAGAAAAAATTTAAGCCTCGACTTTCATTATTGAAAGATTCTCTGGGCAAATTATTGAATGATATAGGAAATATCAAAAGAAGATGGAGGGAATACACAAAGTCACTGTAACAAAAGGAAATGGCTGATGTTCAACCGTTTCAAGAGGTAGCATATGATCAACAGTCAATGATGCTTATGGAGGAAGTCCAAGGCATTGAAAGAATTGGCAAAGAACAAGGCACCAGCAATTGATGGAATAAAAATTGAAATCTTTCAAGAAAGTGATGCAGCACAAGAGTTACTCACTCATTTCTACCAAGAAATTTGGAAGACAACTATCTGGCCGACTGATTGGAAGAGATCCACATTTATGCCCATTCCAAAGAGAGGTGACCCAATGGAATGCAGAAATCATCACACAATCTTTTTGATATCCCATGTGAGTAAAGTTTTACTAAAGGTAATACAGAAACAGCTGCAAGCATGCATTCACAAAGAACTTCCAGAGGTTCAAGCCAGATTCAGAAGAGGCCGTGGAATGCGGGATATCATTGCTGATGTCTGATGGATCTTGGCTGAGAGCAGAGAATATCAGAAAGATGTTTACCTGTGCTTTATTGACCATGCAAAGGCTTTTGATTGTGTGGATCATGACAATCTATGGACAATATTGCAAAGTATGACTATTCCGGAACACTTAATTGTGCTTATGAGGAATCTGTACATGGGCCAAGAGGCAGTTGTTCGAACAGAACATGGGAACACTGAATGGTTTAAAATTAATAAAGGTGTATGACAGGGTTGTATTCTTTCACCGTACGTATTCAACCTGTATGCTGAGCAAATAATCCGATAAACTGGGTTATATGAAAAAAAAATGTGGCATCAGGATTGGAGGAAGACTTATTAACAACCTGCAATATGCAGATGATACAACCTTGCTTGCTGAAAGTGAAAAGAACTTAAAATATTTACTGATGAAGATCAAAGAGCACAGCCTTTGGTATGGATTGCATCTCAGTGTCAAGAAAAAAAAAAAAAAATCCTCACCACTGGACCAATAAACAACATTCTTATCAATGGAGAAAAGATTGAAGTTTTCAAGGACTTCATTCTTCTTGATCGACTATCAACACTCATGGAAGTAGCAGTCAAGAAATCAAACGTCGTATTGCATTAGGCAAATCTGCTGCACAAGACCTTTTAAAGTATTGAAGAGCAAAGATGTCAGCTTGAGGACTAAGGTGCGCTTGACCCAAGCTGTGGTATTTTCAATAACTTCATATGCATGTGAAAGTTGGACAGTGAATAAGGAAGACCGTAGAAGAACTGATGCTTTTGAGTTATGGTTCTGGAGGAGAATATTGAAAGTGCCATGGGCTGCCAAAAGAACCAATAGCTCCATTTTGGAAGAAGTAAAACCCGAGTGCTCCTTCCTTGGAGGCCAGGATGGCTAGACTTCGTCTCTCATACTTCAGACATATTGTCAGGAGGGACCAGTCGCTGGAGAAGGATATCATGTTTGGTAAGGTGGAGGGTCAGAGAAAAAAAGGAAGACCCCCCAGTGAGATGGATTGGCCCAGTAGCAGCATCCGTGGGCTCAAGCGTGGCAACAATAGTGAGGTTGGCCCAGGATCGGGCAGTGTTTTGTTCTGCTGTGCATAAGATCACTATGAGTCAGCACTGACTCAATTATACCTAACAACAACAACAAAGTATAACACATACATTTCAGATAGTATGTCTTGGCATGTGGTCATTTTTCATTAATTTATTAGGGCATATTCAAGCATCTTTCCCTCTTTTTGGCACTTAGCCATAATTGAATGCAAAATTAACTGTAAGACTCAATGTCTGATATTCATGCAGTAGGTTGATGGGACTTCATTGGTATCTAGAAGAAGTTGTGCTCAGATGGAGGTTTAAAGAAGAAGGGCTCTATTGCCATCTGATGAGGGCTGTGGACAAATGACATCTAACCCCTGGATTTGATTTTCCTAGATTTCATACATGATCACTAAGATTCTAAATATTTTATAGTTCTAAAATGTAAAAGGGAAAAGGAAAATAAAAATCCAAACTATGAAGCACTGCTGAGGTACCATATATGGCTGGGGTTTTTTGCTGTTGGTTGTTTGTTTTCATGTACAAGGGGGCTTCACAAAATTCATGGTAAAATTCCACTACCTTCTAATGCCATTGTTTCCATTAACTTTGTGAAGTCCTGTCACATTTGTTGAAAGAATAAATGGAACAGACTAATTACCAGAAAGTAGGCCTTAAACTCCTTTGAAGTCAAGAACAAATAGTAATATTATTGTTGTTAGGTGCCATTGAGTTGGTACAGACTCATAGCGACCCTATGCACAACAGAATGAAACATTGCCCAGTCCTGGGCCAACCTCACAATTGTTGCCACACTTGAGCCCACTGATGCTGTCACTTGGCCAATCCATCTCGCTGGGGGTCTTCCTCTTTTTTTCTGACCCTCCACTTTACCAAACGTGATATCCTTCTCCAGTGGCTAGTCCCTCCTGACACTATGTTCGAAGTATGAGAGACGAAGTTTGGCCATCTTGGCCTCTAAGAAGCACTCTGGCTGCACTTCTTCTAAAACGGATCTATTCTCCCCCCCCCCCAAAAAAAAAAAAAAGCTAAAGAGGATAGAGAGAAACACTGTTAACTGATGATATATGGAGGGGATAATAATCAATGTAATGAAACAAGCCATATGAATGGTTGAATGTGAAGCTGATGATGTGCCCTGTAAACTTTCACTCAATCCAAAATAAAAACATTTAATAAATAAAAAAATAAAACGGATCTATTGGTTCTTTTGTCAGCCCATGGTACTTTCAATAGTCTCCTCCAACACCATGAGTCAAAAGCACCAATTCTTCTACGATCTTCGTTATTCACTGTCCAGCTTTCGCATGCATAAGAGGTTATTGAAAATACTGTGGCTTGAGTCAGGCACACCTTAGTCCTGAAGCTGACATCTTTGCTATTAGCTATTCATAATTTAGGAACCTTGGTGCTGCACTGGTTAAATGCTTCACTGCTAAAGGAAAGGTTTGGTGGTTCACAGGAGAAAGACCTGGCAATCAATTTTCATAAATATTACAGCCTTAGAAACCCGATGAGGCAGTTCTAACTTACCCTATAGGCTTACTATGAGTTGGAATCCATTCTCCAGCATACAGCTGTAACAGCATTTTAGAGTTTAGGTTAAGGTGCTTCAGGAAAAACTTATTGTAGAAAATTGTATTTGAACCCAGTGTTGTTTTTTTCTCAGATTGTTCATATTCCTTATTTGTTCTTAACTCCAATGTGTAAGAAATCCTTTATTTTTTTTTAAATTTAAGTGTAGATGTGCTCTCCTAAAGATCATATATATCTTCTGAGTGAGAAATACCTTTTAAAGGAAAGCTCTCTACACCTTCCACCCTTTTGCACTCACTTATTTCATTACATTTGGTGCAACCTAAAATTGTAGCTATAAAGCTATTTGGGGCATGCTTTTTCCAGAACCTTGTAAGAATCAACAGGAGCATAATTTTAAACTACAGAAGTGCAAAATAAGCACAGAATCCTAGGTAGCATAAATAAAGAGGCCAAAATTCGAACTTTGCAAAAAGACATAATTACCAGCAATGGGGGAGGGGGACGTGAGGATAGAAAGTAGGATTGGGGCGAGGGGCATTTCATCATATTTTTAAAATTGTTCTCTAAATTTTATTTCTTCTCAGAGATGGAATTCTGCGAAACCCCTCACACTCTGTGCTCTGGCTACCAGACAGACATGCACAGTGTGTCTCGCCATGGCTACCAGCTAGAGATGGGGTCTGATGTGGACACGGAGACAGAAGGTGCTGCCTCCCCTGACCACGCACTGAGAATGTGGATAAGGGGCATGAAATCGGAGCATAGTTCCTGTTTGTCCAGCCGGGCCAACTCTGCATTGTCCTTGACTGACACTGACCACGAAAGGAAGTCTGATGGGGAGAATGGTAATCAAATGACCTATACTTTTCACGTAAAACACAGAGAAATTGCAGTTTGGGGCTTTTTCTTTGTTTGCCTTCCCTTATGACCATCTGTTTTTCCTTTAATATGCAGAATGGAAATGCAAGTTAGCAGGGTCCCATGGACAAAGCATTTATCTAATTATCTGGCAAATAGATGCATTTATTTACAATAATAGACAAAATACTTTTCATTTCTGATAATTTCCCGAGGGAAATAATCTCATGTAGTCAGCAGTACTGTGCGTGTCTTATTTATTACTTACCGTTTATTTTCATCTTTATTTTTTAGTGCAATACTATTGGGTACTCCTGTCATATTTTGGCTTCTTAACAATATATGAACAATGAATGAGATGAACAATTGTATACAACACATACTTTGTATGTTCCTTCTATTTTTATTCAAATTAAACTGTCTAGTGTGCAGATAGACTCAAATTACTTAGGTTAGGCCAAAATGATTAAGGTGAAAAAAAGGTGAATTAATGTTATCCATTTGCCGCACAATAGGTCCTAGGTGTGGTATCATTAAATTATAATTATATCTTATTTTATTACAAACTTTAGAAAAAGAAAGTTTCTTTTTTTTTCATTTGTTGGGAAGGGAGGAGTTAATTTGTTTTATTTCTATTCTTCTTTCTAGACCAACATGTCTTAGTAAAAAGCACATTAATACTTTTTAAGTATATTAACCTATTCTCTGCAACATAGTGTTTGACCAAATTTGATAAATCCCTGCCACCGTGGCCACAAGACCTAGTCAATTAGCAGCTCAGTGACTAATGAGTATTTTTTTCAGGTGGCAGAAAGGTATCCAACAGGTTTGTCCCTGTAGCCTTTTATATTCTGTACTCTCCTGCATCCTTCAGCCCATAAAGGACGCTGGCCAAAGGCTAGAATCCTGACTGAGAGTTGCCCCGTAGTTAGAATATCATTCCACTCATTGATAGGCTATAATACTTTACTCTAGTAAGTATCCTTGGGGTTTCCTGACTTCTTTCTGTGTGTATGTATGTGTTGAATGTATTGCTAACTGGACCAAGAGTATTATAGGAGATGAAATACTGAAATGAGAAGGGAGCATGTTTAATATACATATGAGTGTACATGCATATAAGTGAAAGTTAGGGGACCTTGGACTGGCCACTATGGTTTTCTGGGCTTCACATGTCAAACTAGAAAAACAGTGACCAAAATGTGGTGATATGGGGGTATTAGGTGATCTCCTGTAAACTCAAGACTTCTTTGCTCATCTCACTCCTGGCATAGGAAGTTGTAGCACATTCAGTGGGTTACAACATTGAAATTGAGCCTTGAAATTAAAGAACGACTTCCTTCACTCCCTCGGTACTACTGTTTTTTCCCTGTAAGACCCTGAGTATGGGGTTTCCCTTGGAGTGATGAAAATGTTCTGTAATTAGACATTGGTGATAGTTGCACAACACTATGACTATATACTTTAAAGGGGTGAATGTCATGATATATGAATTATATCTCAAAAAGATGTTATTTTAAAATAGACACAGTTGAATGAAGGGCAAGAGTTGAAGATTTAGGAATCAGATGGCTTGGATAAGGATTAATGAGTAAAATGTTTGATATTACAGGTTTTAAATTCTCTCCTGTTTGTTGTGACATGGAGGCTCAAGCTGGGGCTACTCAAGGCAAGTGTTTCTGAATATTTGACCACAAAGTATTTTTACCTCACTCCATCCCTAACACACACCCTCCAAAATGGAACTCTCTGTTCCTTTGACAAACATCTCAATGAATCTGTCAAAGATTAGTTATTAGCAGCTTTCCTCTGGCAAGCTTTATGTTTATGTGGTTTGCTTTCTTCTGGAAAACTGAATGTGTGTATGTTGGTAGGGGCTGGAGCCATGTGGTAGGGGATGGATGAAGCAAGAGTTAAGGTTGGATGTGTAAATACATTGACTTAGTATGGGAGCAGAAATTGAAGTTGAGTTGAGTTGTCTCTAACCATTATCTTATATGGTGCAGACACTGCCATTCTACCAGATGATCCCAGCTTGGCTTTAGAATCACTTTCTACCCATGTCAAAAATTATAAACAACACCTTCAAAAACAAGAAACATTGCTAATTCTTTTCTGTTGTTGTTGTTGTTAAGTGCCTTCGAGTCAGTAGGCCTGTATTTATACTGTGTCACCGTGTTCTTTATTTTGTCCTCATTGTGCTAATTGAATGTTGACCTTGTGCAGAGGGATACTGAAAGTACCATTTAGAAATGATTTTGATGACTGAGTCTGTGTTAGGTTACTCTGAGACACCCTGTGGTAGGGAACTCACATCTGACCACAGGACAGTGACTCAAAATTGTGAAGGAGTCTTTGAGAAAGAAAGGATGAAGATTTATTAAGAATCAGCTTGAAGCCCTTTTCAAAAGACCCATTACCAACCACTCGTCCCATGAAAACTACTTTCTTAGGTGAGCCACTATGCTTTGTTAGTGTGTCATATCCTTTGGTTGTGTTTGGCCTTCAGGAATTGTTGGTTCTGTTCGTGTTCATTGGCCTTAGTCTATCTGCAATCAACCTTAACACTGCTTACTAAGGTAGAGTTGGAGGACTCTAGGACAAAGGCAACACAGCTTTTCTTTCCTGGAGAGCCCATTTGTATCTTAGGAACTGGATACAGTACCACAAGATCCGAGTGGGTTGCCTAGGAATACCTGTGACCCCCTTCTTAACTCCAAACCACTACTGACCCAATGTGCTCTTCTAAGAATGATTTCAACTTTTGGTAGGCAGTGGAGCATAGTCATTAGAAGTATTGTACTCTGGAGCAAGACAACCTGCCTTTGAATGTCAGTCATGAGACATTGGGAAAACTATTTAAATTTCCAACACATAGTTTTCATCATGTGTTATATAAGGATAATACTAGTGTCTACCTCTAGGGGTTTTTTTTTATTTTATGATTGCATTAATCAATATATATAAAGATTTATAACAGTGTTTGTAACTTCAATATGAATGTTCACTATTATTATTGATCAATACTTCACAAATTCCAAAAAAATACATTAAATATGTATGTCTGATTTCATCCTCATGACCGTTCAGTGAAATAGATACTATTTTATGCCCATTTTACATATGAGAAGGGTTAAAATAGCAATTCAGAAGCCAGTTGGCTAAATTCAATAGATTGTTTTCTAAATACCTATTATTAAATAGAGGAATTTTCTTGTCCTTCCTTAAATCACATACATACTAGATATTAACCTTTCTCTGCTCAACTCAGAGTCTAATTTTCCATGAGCAGCCTAAAATTTGGGATTTTTTTCTGACCTATGGTAAGATTCCTCCAGTATGGATTCCACAAATTTTCATTTAATAATAACCAGATCTGGCCTGATTCCATCATTTCTTTGGTCTTCTAGAGCAGTTTGAGTTGAGATGAGATTGTAAACAATTATTTTTCCAAAAGCATGTTGATTAAAGGAAGCAACTTATTTGAACTAAACTTGAGATTTACAGGGTGGGTGACAGCAGCAGAAGCAGCAACATCCTCTCTCCCTTTTCTTCCTTTCCTCTTCTTACTCTCCCTCCTTCTGCTCCTTCTTCTTCTGGTACCCTGTCTCCCACTTCTTCTCCTACCTCAGAGGTCATTCACCCCCCTTGTCGGCAATCGACAGACAGCAGCTATAACTACGGGTGTATCCACTGTCTGTGTACCACCAGAGTGGTAGTGTGTAGACACAGAAAGGGAAATGGACAGACCAAAAATTATTTGCAGCTTTATCTCTGAAGATTGGTCAAGTCTCTGTGATGGCATTTCTGTCCTGCGGCCGTATTCGCTGTGACCTTCTTAAGATGGCTGCACCCTTCTGAAGATAATTGCGCCCTTCTCAAAATGGCTATGCCCTTCCCAAGATGGCTGTGATCTTTTCAAGATGGCTTTGTCTGGTGTTTTGTGCTGCTGCTGCTGCTTGCCACCCACCCTGTAAACCTCAAGTTTAGTTCAAATAAGTTGCTTCCTTTAATCAACATGCTTTTGGAAAACACTGAACAATAGCACAAAACACCAGACAAAGCAGGTACAGGGGACAGTCCTGGAACTCTGAACTATATATAAAGGAATATTTATGAGTATTGAAGACTTACTGTTAGTAGAATTCATAGCAGAAACAAGAAAAGTGACGTTTACTGAGTGGTGGCTGCAGGCAGATGTCCAGCCTAACCATCTTGAGAAGGGAGCAGTCACCTTAAGAAGGGTGCAGCCATCTTGAGAAGGGAGTAGTCACATTGAGAAGGGTGCAGTTATCTTGCAAACTGTGCAGCCATCTCGAGAAGGTCACACCTAATATGGCCGCAGGGCAGAAATCCCATCAGAGAGATCTAATCAATCTTCAGAGATAAAGCTGCAAATAATTTTTTGTCTGCCCATTTCCCCTTTTCTGTCTACACACCACCACTCTGGTACTAGAGAGAATGCCAGACACCCCTCCTACCCTCCCCCCTCCCCAGGGGTCTATTGGGCATGCACACAGATCTGCTCAGCTGGAAACTGGCTCACACTAGGAGAAAAATTTAGACTATTTTGCTACAGAATTGTTTGTTTTTTTTTTCTTTTCTGAAACTATAGACTATAGTAACCAACCTGTTTTTTTTCTGTTGTTTTTTTTGGCTGTTACTGTTTTGTTTTTTGGTCCACCTTTTACCTTGGGTCCCCCTTTTACCTTCAGGGGGCTTTTTTTCTCCCTACATTACTCAAGAAGAGATGGCAATTGTGGTCATGTAGGCAGGCTACAATGACACCCTATAAAATCCCACCATCCAGGCAAAAGCCAATGCCAGCTTCTATACACCAGATAGGTAGTCAACACCTGCTACAGTTACTCTGAGTTGAGTAATAATAAAGTGGAAAAGGAAGCCCATCTCCTGATCACATCTACCTGAAGGCAATCAGCACTCTCAATAATATACCAGTATTGTTGTTGTTGTTGTTAGGTGCCATCGAGTTGGCACCGACTCATAGTGACCCTATGCACAGCAGAACGAAACAATGTCCAATCCTGGGCCAACCTCACTATTGTTGCCATGCTTGAGTCCATCGATGCTGCCACTGGCCTATCCATTTCATTGGGGGTCTTCCTCTTTTTCTCTGACCCTCCATCTTACCAAGCATGATATCCTTCTCTAACGACTGCTGTCTCCTGACAATATGGTCTCTAAGGAGCACTCTGGCTGCGCTTCATCCAAAACAGATGTATTGGTTCTATATATATATACCAATATATGTTCATTTAATTATTGAACATACACCTAATTAATGAAGATGCCCAAAAAACAACTGACCACATTAGCACATGTCCAGAAACAAGATAGAGTAACTGAGACAAATGATCTGGAGGTAGACATAGACTTCCCATTGGAAGGAGGGCAGGCTTTGGAACTGGGTGACAAGGAATTCCGGAGAATGCTATTGAAGTGCATCCAAACGCTCCACAGAAGGGTTGAGAAAAGTAAGGAAGAAGTCAGAAAAGCACTATAGGAATAATTAAATAAGATAGATACAGCATTGGAAACAATTCAAAACCTGCAAAAAGAGGTCCAAACAATTAATAATAAAGGATCAGAAATGGACAATACACTGAAAGGGCAAAGGAGTAGAACCAAAGAGATGGAAGCCAGAACCAGCGAGCTGGAAGACAAATGTCTCAATACGGCTAAGATAGAAGAGCAAGCAAAAAAAAAGATAAAAAATTCTGAAGAAGGTCTAATATTCATGTAGGACAACATGAAGAGGAATACCATAAGAATTATTGGCATTATGGAACAGGAAGAATCACAGAAGTCCACAGAGGAGATAGTCAACAAGGAGAGAATCCTAAAAGCAGCTCGGGAAAAGAGAAGCGTTACTTACAAAGACACGCAAATGAGACTGAGAACCAGCAAAAACAGACAACAACCAGAGATTAACATACGTGGCAGCACCACTCGGAACTCAATTGACAGATGGAAGAGTCCAGAACAGAACAAAACTATCAGAACGAATTCAGAGGATCTGAGAGGTCAGTCTATGATCAAAACAATTACAGTGTGAAAGACTTTAAAAACATAAGAACAGAGATCCAGGTGGTGAGGAGGTCAGGTAAATTGCAGGATAAAATAGAATGTTTTAAATGCAGGAAAAGTTCATAGAACATAGGGTAACCTCATAGAAAATAATACTTTACAACATACCAAGAAAATGAAAATCCAAGAAGAACATGACAACATTAAAAGTATGAAGAAACCAACAAGAAAGAACAAACAAAACACATGAACTCAGTACAAGAAGGCATGCATACAGAACAAAGAAACCAGCAGCACCACAAAAAACAAACATAATGATAGCAATTAATTCATACCTATCAATAATTACCTAAAGGAGCTCTGATAGCGTAGTGGTTACGAATCGGGCTGTGAACCTTAAGGTCAGCGGTTCGAAACTACCAGCCGCTCCGCGGGAGAAAGATGAGGCTTTCTACTCCCGTAAAGATTTACACCCTTGGAAACCCTGTACAGGGTCGCTATGGGTCGGACCCGACTTGATGGCACTTAACAACAACAACAACAATAATTACCTTGAATGTCAATGTGTTAAATGCACCAGTTAAAAGAGAGTAGCAGAATGTATAAGAAAACAAGATCCTT